TAATCTGATGCTTTTTCTCTGCCTGAAGTAATTAAGTCAAAATCATCAGAAGTTTCTTCCATTCTAAGGAGTGTTGAATCCGTAGACTCTTTGAGTGAAACTTGAACAGCAAAACTAAAGGGGAAGAAACTGAAACAAATTCATATGGACGGGAAATCAAGGTAAAAAAAAAACAGTAAACAAAATAATAAATACAGTTATGAGAAAGAATTAAGTTACTTGGAATCTAGAAAAACAGATGAGTGGAGATCTGGTCATGTTGAGATAAATTTTGCTCAAATAACCCTACGCTGGCTTTTCAGAACTGTCATTTTGTAGTTTATACCCTGGCTTTTTACACTTGAGGGACCTTTTTTTTTTTGGTTCATATGCATTAAAAACTTTCCTCTCTTTCTTCATAAGATTTAAATAAAACTCAGTGTAAAAACTGAGAAAATAAAGACAATAAAAGGGACAAATGTACAAGTCACCCATAATGCACAATCAAAATTAATCATGAGAAACCTTTCAGTGTGTTTCCTTTGTCTTTAAAAAATGTTAATATATGTTTGATCAGAGTATACACATAGCCTGCATTTTTTTTCAACTTGACACATGAACATTCCCGTTTCTTGATGTATACTGGGGACAGGCAAAAAGCAAATCCCTTGTTTCTTGATTTATATTCAAATGGATACTTCTCAAAGACTCACACCCAGGGTGAAATGAATCAGTCCCCCGCATATTTGCTTGGGAGAGGGTGTTTAATTTGTATATACTAATCGTCTTAGTTGTTAGGCTATTCAATTAGCACCCTTTCATATATAATTTTATTCTGAATTGTTTTGAGTATAGACGGCTTCTTTCAGTAAGGGTATTCAGAACCCTTAGGGTTGGTAATTCCACTGTATAAAGGCTTACAGAATTAATACGGAATCTGGCTCCCTATTCAATCCCTAACATCCTCTCTCTCTGACCTATTTACATCAACTCCCCTTAAAGTAACACATGGTGTATGAAGAGCATGAGGGGAGAAAGAGAAACCATTACTTGATCAGGTCTTTGATAGGGTCCTCTCTCTTTTTGACCTATGTTCCTAGGAGAAAGCTGACTGTGTTACAGAGACACAGACATCTGCTTTCCACCCCCCCACCAGTATATTCAGGGATTAATAACTTCTATTGAGTGTGCCAAACACACAAGGACGGCATGTTGAGTTTCCTGAAATGTGTTCCCAGAATAACATTCAGGGAATCTTAAGACAGGAAGTCACATTCCAAAAACACCTGGAAATAATCTGTATTAGTCAAATACTGCAGATAACAAGTCTCACATAATTCAGTCATAAATTTGTTATTCTTTTTTTTAAAAAAAGAATAACTGCTATTTACTGAGGGCCTATTCTGTGCCAGGCATTCTGCTAGGCATCTTGCAAATATTATTTCTAAGTTTTCAACAGCCTGCAAGGTGAAAAGGAAAATGGAGTCTAAGAGAGACTGAAATATAGGGAGTCTGTCTCTGCAAATACCAAACAAGACAAGTCACCTGCACATACCATTAGTAGACAGGAGGAAGTAGGCTGCATTCTGCTGAGGAAGCCATCTTATTTTATTGATTTTTTCTTCTATTTCTAAACTCTTCAGGTAATCGAACTCAGGTTCATGGCTCTGGAATGTGCTGTAAACATTGTATTCACCCCTACGATGAACCTGGTTTTTACTCTGTAGGAAGGAAAAGAAATACACAAAAAAACACACAAAAGATTAAATCACACAAGCCAGCTGCAAACTCACCAGTTCCTTCTTTTTTTTTTTTTTTTTTTGAGCAGAGTCATGAGGGGTGGGATGGGCAGTTTAATGCTGTTTCTTTTCTTTTCTTTTTTTTTCAACCCATGGAAATCCTCCTTAGCTCAGTGTCCCCAAGGCATTTGGCATGCACCACTGGTGGCCAATAGTGGCACGTCCAATATTTATATATTTTTATTTATAAATTATATACATAAACTGCAGCACAAAGGGATGGTGTACATCATAATACATGTGTAAGAAACAGAAGTTGAAATAGGACATGATTTTAAAATCAATATAAATAGAAGTTCTAATATTTTCTTTCTGTGTCCTAATGGACATCTTGGACACCCTTAGGAGTAACCCATCCCATGCAGATGCCCACACAGACATGTATCAATTCCCCACCAAGAACACAAAGCTATAGCATCTGACCTTTCTTTAGCCTTTTCAGATCTCATCAAATCCTCACAACTTCTCTGAGTGGTGGACAGGAAAGGGAAATGGACAAAAGGGGCTCAGAGATATTAAAATTACTTCTTTAAGGTCACACAGCTTCTAAGCAGCAAACCTGGATAGCAGATCTCGCCCTCTACCCCCCCATCTTCCTTCCCCCAACATGAGTAACAAAACAGACATGAGCACAGAGGTGACATGTGAGTCACTGGGAGAACAATGAGACATTCTGGCTGGCGCTCTCCCAGCTCCGATTATGCAAAGCGCACACAGCAGGAACTAAATAAATGATGAGAGAACGAAACATAAAGGAAGGGTGTACACAGAGGGGCAAGAGGAAGAAGAAAGGTGGATGGGAGGAAAAGACGGTGTTGAAAGAGACAAACGGAAGGAGGGGAAAGAGGGAGGGGAGGTTTTCATTTCAGGTATTAAAATATCAGGCTTTGGAAAAATGTTCAAAAATTCAAATTTGAGTCTTATCAGACATTTGTTGTAAAACCTTAACTCTTAGGAAAAGGCTCAATTAAAAAATTTATATTTCCAGGTGGATACTGAACATTCAAACTAAGGTCTCAACTTACTAACCTAATGGGTGACGGTGCTGATGCCCAGGGTTTAAAGGTACTTGTGAGGGCACTGAGGTTCCTTGAGCAAATTCTCCAGGACTATGCCTCTTGAGGATGCGCTCACAGAGGTCACCCATGGAAGTCGAAAGGAGGTCTGACTTAGATGTGGTCATGTGGTTCAAGCTCAGTGTTCAGTTCAATCTCCAGCCTCGCCATAAAGCTCAACATTTAACTGCATGTTATTGTCCTCAACATTTATTCATGATTGAACAAAACCACCCTCCTTTGGAAAATGTGTCCCCCTTCATTCTACTAATGAATCAGGCTTCCCAAATATTTCAGTAAATTAAAATAGGTGAAACCTATAAATAGCTAATGGGAAACGTGGAGCGGAATATTGCTGGCGACATGCTGTCTTGGGTAATTTATGCTAAATAGCTCCTTTGGTTTCTCTTTATCATCATTCTGAACCTAATTGGATTTTTTTTTTAAATTGAAGAAGAAGGTTTGAAAATCAATTTTTAAAGGACTCTAAAGACTGCCATACTTGCTCCCATCCTGTTTACTGCAGAGAGAGCGAGTCCACCTTAACAATAAATTTTTCAGATTGTTGATTTGGTACCATCCAAATCAGACTGTCAAGTGTGTGCAGGATGTGCCAGACCAATTAGCACCAGGCAGCTCTGGAAAAGCAGGAAAAATTCCAGGTCACGAAGAGCTATTAGTTCCTACTTGCCAACCACATTTTCGTGTTTCCAGGGCCAACGGAATAGGCTGGGTGCCTGATTTAATGCTGAACACTTGAATTTACACAGAACCTCGAGGGATTACAATGCCCTTATAGAAATTAATTGCAAATAATGTGCAATTATCAAATATATCACCTCTAAATGAGGCTTTCCTTTTTTGAGGGGAGGTGTAACACAAATGGCTTTGAGGCACAAAGCAGGCTTTAAATTGCCAGGGAAGTCTCTGGTGAAACCCTCCTCCTGCCCTGGGCTTCCTGCTATGCTGGGCCGGGTGAATCTCCAAGGCAGGCGGCAGCAGATGGGAGAGTGACAAGAACACAGACTGGCCTGCTGGAAGCTCCGGGACCATGCCAAGGAAGGCCAAGGAAATCAAACTGGGCCATAATTCCAGTCTGACAAAACAGAAGCAGTCACCAAAAAATCTCAATTGATATAAAAAAGAGAAACAGTTCCCAGTGGAACCCAAGTATCAGGAAGAAACGGGCTTTTTGAAATTCAGTGGAATTAGAACTCCTGCTCAGAATAATACATAGAGCATTCAGCTGCAGGGAACTTCGTGTCACCTGTAGTCAAGTGGGGGCCAGATGCCTTGCTCAGATGTTGTTTTGTGGGACTGCACTCCCTTTGGTAGGGGGAGCCACCATTTTCTTCTCTTCGGACCCAAGTTATCCTTTTCACATCTGTTAGCGGAAAGGCTATATTTTTGATCCTAGATTCTGTCAGAAGCCCCTGAATTTCAACAGCTGGAGGATAAAGCTCGCTCAAAGGGGGCATTATGCTCCCCAAGCACCCCTGGAATTTTGCAGGTCGGATGAGAAGTGAGGTCATTTTGAATGTGCAATACCCCGGCTTGGAAAACCAAGACCTTGCCCAGAAAAGGCTCTGTTTTGTGAGCCTGAGTGTGAAACTGTTGATGTTAATGACTTTTTGGCAGTTTTTAGTTTGCAAGCCAAGCAGCAAGGTTAAGGGCGACACATGAGGATTAAGGAACAGTAGGAGGCTTCCTTTAAAAAGAGAAGAAAATGGGCATTTTGCATTCACTGCCACTTACCTCCTGCTCTCGTTGAAATATTACAACCCGACCCCCCTTGTCCCCTGTCGCTAGTAATTCTCCCGTGTGGTTGAATTCTACCGTAGAGATAATGTCAGCTGAAAAGAAGAAGACAAAGGCAATTTAAGTAACTGCACACTTACTTTCAAACGACAGATAATAGACGTACTTTTCGGTGCATTTAAGGGCTTAGGGCTTTGTCTCTGCAGTGGAATTTACAAGGATTTTCTGTTCTGTATTTTAAGTGCCACTAGAAGGAAAATAAATTTCTAGATGCCCACACGGCCCTGTGGGCTCTTGGAACCAACGGAGAGAACAAAAGCAAAAAAGCACCTTGAGAGCCTTTTGTTTTGGGCAAGAGAAAATGAATTTCTTTATGGCTCAGGGAAGTGGCAATTTTCTTTGATAATTTCGACCAACCCCAGACTCTTGACCCGCCTGCGGCCTTCCTGCATGTCCTTTTTCTCTCCACTGAGAAACTTCCCCAAACAGGTTTCAACCGTGATATTCAAACGAGGGCAGAAGGCCGTGATAAATCAGGGCTGAGATGCTTGAAGCTCAGAGCCCAAAAACGGAATACAGAGGGATCATCAGGGAAACTCCAGGAGATGGAAGTTCAAGGAAGGACCCCAAAATGCTCCCTCTTTTCTGGTGAGCCTTAACACTCCCTGCTGGAAAAGCAGGACCTCACTGCAACCCCAGGAGAGAAGTGATGAGAAAACAGGGTCATGAGGTCAGAGGGGAGAGGGAAATCTGTCCTCCGTATTTCTAAGCAGAGAAAATACAGAGGCGCCAGGAACTTGGATCACAGATAATTGCTGAAGGAATGCCAGCCTGCCAAGTCTTTCTTCAGTGCCGGTTACCCTCAGAGGAACACGGACAGGTAAATTACCTATGATTGGATTTATTAGGGCTATTTTTAGAAAAATGTCAGAGGTTAATTCCTCTGCAATTATTCCCCTGCAGGGCTCCAACAATTGCTACCAAGAGTGCAAATGAGTTAAAAAAAAAAAAAAAAAGGAGGCAGGGGAATTATGACTGTGGCCTTTGACAGAGGAACATTCTGAAGATTATGTCCATGTGAAGAAGGCAAAGGGGAAACGGTGAGGTGGAAAACTAAGGCAATTACCCCTGAATAATTCAAATCTCAAATCTTACTTTAATATCACCATTTCGAGATTCTCTTTGTCTGCCTGACTTATTGAGTTCAGTAGTGTGAAATTCTCTACTTTGCTTCTGTCTTTTTCCTTACATGAGAACGCTTCTAATGGTCATTCTTTGTGCTGAAGGAAAAGAAAAAGGCATAAACTGTAGTCGCTTTCAACTCAGCACATTTAAAAGGATCATTCATGATTTCTGCTTTGGCGTCTTAGATGACTGACCCCAGTGGGAGCAGATTCAAACCCTAACGGGCCACGAGGTAACACGGACTGAGGGAAACCAGGTGAAGCAGGAAGCTTGTGTCCCCTCTTAAGGGACAAGTGGCTACTCGGCTTAAGTCAACCGTGACCATGAACTATTCTGTTTTTTTTTTTAAAAGAAGCTGGAATCCAGAGTATTATGCATGACCTCTTCAGTTTCATATATTGTCAACCAATTGCTTTTTTTCAGTGCCACAACATTAAAAAAAAAACGTATAATCTTGTCTATGTGCTGAAAGTGGTTTGTGGGTGACCAGTTTCTGATGTCTGGTCTCTAGAGTCTTCCTTCAGAAAAGGCACCCATTTCTTATTGATAACCTCAACTGGAAACCTCGCCCATTCACTCAAGAAGGCCCCTCTAGGTGAATACTCCTTTAAGGATACACAAAATAAGCAGCCAGGCTCCTCAGCCCCCGACATAAGCTTAGAAAAGGCCCTTTTCTAGAACAAATGCCCAGTGAGAAGCAGGGAAGCTCATCCAGGCTGGGAAGCCAGCCACTCAAGTGAATTATCAGCCACTTTCCTTTGTTATAGCTTGCCCATCTTAGCAAAGCACTCTCGTGTACAGGGGAGAGAAGAAGTCTGTTTAATGTTTGCAGTGGCCTCAGAATGCCCTGGTTGAAAAGCACTCAAGTGCTACGATACACTTCGAACACTAGTTACCGCTTCTGGCTTTTCAGTGAGTAGCTAGCAATGGGGTTCTTCACGAAGCTTCCTGACTTTGGGTAGAACCAAAAGCAGACAATGGCTGTTTCTTTTCACTTTCAGGCTTCTGTCAGGGGCTAAAGAATGAGTCAAACACCTCCAGAGCAGAAAAGTAGCAGGGAGCAAAGAGAGGGGGATGGTGAGACCAGGCCTGAGGGGTTAACAGTACCAGGCTTGAGTCTTGAGGGCTAATATTCTGCTTAAGGGCTGTTTACATGCTTCTTCTCAGCAGCAGTGTTAACACAGATGCTGAAGTCCTAGGTGGGTTCCAGGGCCAGGATATTGACAACTAAAAGATGGCCCTTCCCTTTCGGTGAGTTTGGGTATCAGAAGGAAGACTTAAGTAGCTTTTTCCAAGGTTAACCTCTGGCTCAGTTTCCAAGAAAATGTCACTCCAAGAAAAACAAAACTCAAATCTCCCAGGGATGACATTCACACTGTCTTTTTGCCTGGATTCTGCGAAAATGTCTTCACTTTCTTTAAGATTCACTCAGGTCAAATCAAAGTAGGAGTCAAGCTCCAGTCGAAGCCACATGATCCAAGACAGTGTTATGAGAACTCTGCACTATGGGATATCAGGCTTGGTCCCAGCTATAAAAATGCCTCCTTTGTTTTCCAAGTGTTATCATTATTTGTGCTATGTCTCCATTGAGAACCTTGTCAGAGAAAGAAAGGGTGATTGGCGTGGCAGGATTCCAAAATTCCTTGGTCCTCTTGCCAAGCCCTTACCTTTATTTCAACCCTGCCAGGCAGTTGGTCTGTATATTCAGTTGTTTATATCCAGCTATTGTCTGCCTCCCATTAGAGCATACGTCATTGCAGCTCAAGTTAATACCTGTTTTGAACTTTCATGTTTCCTGACTCATTTATCAGTGCTAAGCCAGTAGGTGTAACCAGAATATTTTACTGCCCCATCCATCTTTGCCTATCTTCATCTACGACTATTTCATAATTGATCCAAAACTCATGAATCACCCCACATTCCAATTTCAAGATACGGAAACCTCTGATACGATACTCTTGCATTTGCAACATGCTCTTGGTAGAGCAGTTTACCTTCGAAGACATACCCTGCTCAAAACAAAAGAAGTTTTGTTGACTATAGAGAGAAGACAGGGCAATAATATTAAACTACCAAACTTCAAGATGATAACGTCATTTGAAATCATGGTCAAGAGAAATCATTTCATCAAGTTCAACTAAAGTTCAATTCATCAAGTTCAGTGAGAGGACTTTTACCTTTAAAGATAAGTGTGACAGCTCATTTTGTGATAACACAAAATGACAACTCGTTCTCTTAAATGCCCAGCTGAATCACTCTGTTACACAAAAAGCTATACACTTGGACATTTTCTCTCTGTCCTATTAAGATGTGGATGAAATGCATGTTTTCGACTAGAAACAAAAAGTGGAAGCCAAGAACAGTTATAGAAGTCAAATGTAGTTAACACGATTTTTTAAGGAAACCCTGGGAGGTATGACATTTGCCCCGCTCCACATCTATTTGTGCTGATTTAATTTCCGCAAGATGGTGGCCTGGTAACCCCATTTCTAGTTCCATAGGCACTGCTAAGAGCAAGTTTTTCATCTTGAAAATCCATCTCAGCATCCTTCAAAGATTCCAGACTAGCAAGCACATATATAATGTTTCCATTTACCTGAATAGTAGAAATTGACTTGGCAATTATATGCATGTGGTTTTGAGGCTAAAGAAAAGGAAGGATCCCCTTGTTCAAGCCCTGGTCTCCCATGGTTACCATGCTAGGCTGGAGTCTCTGCAATGCCAGGACACTGGGCTGAGGACAGTTACTAGGTGATGCACATTTCAAATAGCAGGGTGACTTTCGATAAAATGATGGCTCAGTTTAGACTTAGGACTTAAATCCCAGTCCCCTGATGGGACAAGATCTTACTGACCAGGTTACTAGCACTGGCCTTTCAGCATCAATCACAGGGACTGAAATGAGAGGGAAATGCAATTTATTTTTCAGAGCCCACTGGAAGTTCTATTGTTCATCTCAGAAATGTCTGGGAGCTAATACTACGAAGTCACTGACCCTGCTTGTACCAGCTCTCTAGTTCTGCCCACTCAGCGTTTGGCCTTCTTCCTGATGATGAGGTCAGTTATAGCAGAATGTCTGCCATTAGGACAAGGATATCAGCAAGAATGGAAATAGGTTTCACAGCAAGTGACAATGGTGAACCGGTGGTAGTTGCCAGGAAGTTGTGCTGAAAAGGATTTGGGAGGCCACTTCCAGGCTGAAGTGCTGTGATTCACCGGCAGGGGGTCCTGCAGTCAGTGGGGGGAGGTGGCATGTGGATCCTTCGTCATTGCTACAGAGGGCCTTCCAGCTAGATTGGCCATGACTTTGTGGATCATTAAACAAACAGGGGATTCTTGGGCTTCCCAGTGGGAGTTAAAATTACTCCTTGCATCTACATAACCCTGTGGACTTCTCCTTGGGTTCCGGTTCACGGCCCAAAGTCAGCATCCATTTTCTTGGATAAGGTTTTCTTTGGTAAGTTTTGATATACGAAATAGTGTGTTGGAGTGTATTTTCCATCAAAATAGTGCGGCAGGGGAGAAAGTCTGGTTATGGCCAAAGAAGCTATGCCCAAGTACTGCTACTGGAATTGTGCCAAAGTGGTCTTGTTAAAAATATTAGTATACTGTAAAATTTTTTAAAAAAGAATCAGGTAATGAAACAGTATATGTCAAATGATTGTAATTTTGTTCAAGTATCTTCATTTTCAAATTTATCTTTTTAAACTGGTAAAGCAACATATGCTTATTAAAACTTCCATTAACACCAAGATGATGATTAGAATATAGAATGAAATAGCCCCAAAGATAATAGTTAACTCCTATAAACACATACACACAAATATTCATAGGAGAAAGTCTGCCAGGGTGAGTACAAAATAATATTGTGGGGGATGTGGATGATTAAATTATTTTCTTACTGTGTTGTAATTTTTCAGTATTTCCAATTTTTTTTACCTTGACCGTAAATACTTAAACAGTTTTTAAGTTATAAGCAATTTTAATTGATTTTCAAAGTAAATATAAGATTATACATTTACCTCAGTAACTTTTTAGATTTTTTAAAAAATTTATTTTTTAATCCCCATATGGTAAAATTTACTTTCTGTGGCATACAGTTTTATGGGTTTGGATAAATGCACATAAGTGTGTATCTACATTGCCACCATCATGAGATAGAACAGTTTAATCACTATACCCTCCGCCCCCAAGTTCCTTCATTATTGCTCCTTTCTAGTGAACAGTTTTTCAAAAATGAATAAAATTATGGTAATAAAATGAACTGATATGTATCTAAGAGCTTCCAAAGGTTAAAAATGCCGTGCAAATACAGATGCTTAATACTATTGGTCTCTATACATATGGCATAACTCAATCTGCAGCCAACAATCATCTTCTCACTAGTCAGATTCAAAGATTTTATTTTTTACTCTTACTGTCTAGATATTATCACTATTTAGAATTCTATTTTTAGAGTGCTGGGAAGCTCACTTCATCAATATACCTCTGTTAATCTGAATCGCAAACGAGGTTTTCTGCCCTTTGATCTAAAGTTCCCTTTGCTTGTAACTGGGACTAGGTTTGAGTTCTTGATTCAGTAGCCTTAACTCAACTTGACACTATTTCTCATATTCCTTCAGCTTGGTCCCAGTGACAGAAGTAATAAATATAAAGTTCTGAGAAGTGATAACAATGGATCTAATCTTATTTACCCATTTTGATCTATTGGCAGAAGCTGCATACTGAGAAAGACTGAGAGGCCATAGCTGGGCTTGGTGGGAGAGTGCTATGATCAATTAGTTATGTCTGCCAAGGGCAGGGGAAAAAGCTACACCCATGCTGCACGCTTGCTATGCTGACCTACCGTGTTTAATATACACATTCTGTCGGATCCAGAGTTGATTCCTCTGTCACCTGACTAGTGTCTGGTATTGAGATACTGAATCCTTTTCCTTTCATTTGAATGTAACTAATTCTGTGCATACTGCTTTAAACTTCAATCTGGTGCTGGAAATCCTCTTAATTGAAAGAATGCAGGTAGGAGTGTCCAGCAGCCCCAATTCCCAAGATTTTATCTTAACTTCTATTTCATATATAACTGCAAGCACAGTGCTGGAAAATGGACACAGTTTAAATATCAGCCTGCCCACATAGACCAAGCTCACTATGGACAGGTACTGTGCTGACACTCTTGGTTGGCTGCTCCTCCCGAGTGCCTTTCTGCCTTGCCTGCCTCCCAGTGCAGAGGCTGAAAAACCCAGATACTTGCTTCCCAGCCTTCCATATGGCTAGGAGATAACCATGTGACCCAAATCTGGCCAGTGAGGCATATAGCAAAGTCTGCTGAGGGGCAGGGTGGCAGAGATTCTGGGAAAAATTTTTCTTTGCTGAATAAAAGGGAGGAAGCAAGTGTAGGGAGGTCTCCTGGCTGCACCAACACACTCTTTGCATCCTACTGCTACCTTTGTCTCTGGTTATATGTGGCCATATGTGGAGCTATAGCAGCCATCATATGACCATGAGGTGACAAGTCTAAGGCCCAGCTGACAGGCTGAGTATGACAGATGGAAGAAAGGCACAATGTCCCCGGTGACATCACTGAACTACAAAAACCTACCTTAGGGACAGCCTATATCTGAACTTGTTAAACAGTAAGATACCCAGTGGTTTAAGCCACTGCTATATAGATTTTCTGTTACGTGCTTCTGAATGCATAATAAGAGACATCTTTCCATCTTTGTTTTCCTCATGGTGTTTTGCATAGGGCCAGATTATTAATCCATGTTGAACTGGAAAAAAATAGTCCCTTGTCCTGAATCCCCATGCACAAACTCACCCACGCACTTTTTGATTTCCCTCTACCACACAAGCAATTTTCCTTTGCACTTGCTCAGTTCCCAGTATTGAGGTGTTTGTTTTCCCCTCTTCCCCTGTGTGGCAATGATGCATTACTTTTTGACCATTTAAATATGAAAGTAGCTTACTGGGATAGAATGCCTCCTCCACCACAATTTATCATGCTGTCCATCAAAAAATTATGACTTCAAAGGGATCTAGCCATGCCCTCCTTTGGAGCCAAGTTCCTCCCTGCTAATGCGTAGTAAGCCCACCATGCTTGCTGAGCTGTGAAAACCCAGATGGTAGGAAGCAGGTGAGTAATGAATGCCATGCTGTTCCCATTAAAATGCACACACAGCCTCCCCATACTGACCAAATACCCAGAACTAACCAGGTTTGAGACAACTGCCTTTCATTCAAAACAAGTTCCTGCAACATCCACACTGAGAAGAGAGAATTTTCCAGTAGTGGAACAAAACTAGCCTAAAGGGCAAAGGAATTTTAAAAATCCTAAGTCCTCTAAGTACAGAAATAGCCAATGGGAAATTGATAGCAGTCCAGACTTACCTCCAAGCCTGTGTGATTTATAGTGGAATCTGCTGTCAAGGTGTCTACCATCTGTCATCCACTCTTTCAAAAAGCCGAAGAATAATTAACTGCTCAGGCGATACAAACTCTGTCAATCATTCAGATCTATTATCTGCACAATATGGGATCACCTAGGATGGACCCCAAAGTCAGTGGGACCCCAGGTCCAAAATGAGAAAGCTCAGCACATCTGCGGGGGGGTGTGTGTCTTGAGCAGACACTGGAGTCCATTTGGCGTGTCTTTGGTCAAAAATTTGGCTGAGCCAGGAAGACTCAAGCACCTGTCTTGTGGGAGCTAAAGATCTCCATGTTTGTGAGCTGACTCTAATATCACTTCTTCCG